TTTATATATATTAACCAGACCTTAAAATACTGCATTTTAATGAAAACGTTGGATAGTAAGCTCAGAAAACAAATTCTACAAGTATTAACATTTTTACCCTCCCTAAAACAGTGAGCAGTGTGTTGTTGTTTTTTTTGTTTGTTTTTTTACAAAAAATGGTTTTGTAAAAGCAATCTCCACTTATATGACATCAACAGAGACTCCGCTAGAAGACCTGAACCCATGTTTTCACTCACTTTTTCACTTCTCAATCACACTGGACACAGATTCAAACTAAAAAAAGTGAATTTAACAGCCTTTCTGCACTCTCATTCAGTCTAGAAATGCATGCAACATCCATGACATCATTGCCCCGGGCTGAAGCATTTGGACCTGGCTGAATCTTCACTACTGTTTACAACAAATATTGCTGATTTATGCACAAAATGAAACTTGCTATGTCAGTATCGAGAAGCACACATTTTACACATATGCAAAACTCTAATAAAGCACACCGCAAGCCTCAAAGCACACATGGATCCATAAAGGACTGCACACTCCTTATAAAGCAGATGACGCAATAGTGTTCAACATTTTATGAGTCGCAAATAGGCACATCTCACTGGTCCATCTCCAAATAAAACCATGCACGTCGAAGGAAACGGTACAGCTCCTACTAGTCGACACTGAAAACAATAGTCGATTACACGACAGAAAAAAAAAACATGACATCGCCGACGGCAAACAAATATCTAGCTTTTCAAATATCTGGACCGGTCGGCCGACTCGACATCACGTGGTGTCAGGTGTCGTGACGAGCTACAGCCAATAAGAGAGCAAGGCATGGGTTGAGGTCATCGGAAGAAAAACAACAGCAGCAACATAGCTTAAAGAAAAGTTTGGACACAATAAATGGAGCAATATTTTTCATCAAGCAAACAGCTTGCAGCTCTTCCTGACATCCATTTTCAAATAAACGACTCCTGTTTCACGTGTTGTTTCGCGTTATTCCCATTCCAATTCTCGCGTGTGTTTTTGTGACAAAACGTGGTTTGTCGAGTCGTTGGGTGACAGAGTTGTTGTCAGCTTGTGTAGTGTGTAACCCCCCGTTGCGGATCATTTACATACAGTCACGTAGTGTGAACACCACAACGACTTAAAGACAGACAATCAAGTCATGTAGTCTGAACAGCACAGCGATCTGCCGACGTTTAAAGTCATGTAGTGTGAACTTGGCTTTACTGAGCAGTTCAGTGTGCGTGCTTGGGTGTTTTGTGTTGTGTACCCTGTGTTAAATGATAGCATGTGAATTTGTGAATCGAGCACTTGTGCTGTTAAGCTTTATAAGAGATACTGTTCTTTGATCTGGGGAAAAGAGAACAGGTAAGCGAGTCACGCAATATACATATTGCCTGTAGTTATCAAGTGTTTCTTGTGTTGTGCATGTAGAGTAGGTTATATATGGTGTCATATGCACCGTTGATTTTTATAGAAGATTTTTATTTTTCAAATTTTTCTTTGGTTAATTAGGTTAGAGGTTTTGGGAAAATATTTTATGGGAATTGTTTTGTTTTGTTTATTGGGCACTATTCTAGTTCCTTTTCCCCTCAGTTAACTGCATTTCTTTTTTTTCTCTTGTTTTTTATTTCTTTCTTAATATTGTTGCATTGTAAATAGCTCATACACTGTCTAATGGCTTTGGCTTGTGGTCACCAAACCACCTGATTTAGCATTATTTTATATTTGCCCTTTGGTTCTTTCTACTTACTCCACTCTTTCCAGCAACAATAACACAACTAAATGTTACGTTCTATCCCCTGGCCTAGAACTCTAGAGTTTGTAAAATGTCCGTTCAGTTATGCAATCGTAATGCTGCCATTTTTATGGGCATTTAAAAAAATGTGCAAGGGACAAAAGCCAAGAAATGCAGGATGCATAATCTCCTTTTTATGTTTTCTTCTTACTGACGCGGAACGCTGGGTCTTCGTGGGGTCTTAAACACCCCGATGCTCTGGCCAAGCGTTTACACAAATCGGCCTGTAGAGAGTCTCCATTGCACCTCGGCCAGCTCATTACTGGGAACTTTAAGACAAGTAATGTCGAACCGTCACATCAAATCTACACATTATGACACACTAAGGTGTGACAGATTTGTGGAAGTGGGCAAACATGAGCTGCGCTTTCAGTATCATTGCCATATGAGCAGTCGACATCCACCAGGTTAGTGTGATCACAATCCACATGCCTTCAAGACAATTTAACGTAAGTGAACATAATTCTTCTAAATTAGCTGTTGCTAGACTGTGAAGAGACAATGAGATCATGTTACAAGCTTTTCCACTCTGAAAGCCTCTGCAAGAATTCCAGTCACGGTACTTGCAACCAATTTAGTTTTTAGTCGGTGCCTCGGTTTCCTGCAAGATAAAGTTTAGCTAGTCGCATGCTCAGATGTACTGTAATGGTCTCCAGGAGGAGGTGAAGGTGAGAGAGGAAATGGCCACAGAGCCCAGCTGTAGACGCCCCAGCACAATTATTCCTGTAGATAAGCAGCAGTAGGTGTCTGGAATGTGTCAGAACACAGGCTCAAACTGGACAACCAGAGCACGACCTCACCTACCACACACACAGTGAGGGCCTGTCCTTAGCATACTTATTCTCGGTAAGTTTCACATAACCTGTGACTGTGTGTAAACATGCTCACGGCTGTGATGGCTGTCTCTTTGGGGTCCTGCACAGATCTATTTATTCATCATGCAATAACACTTACAGGAAATCACAGTCAGCTTTTTCCCCAGCAATAACTGGTAAAAGCACCAGTGAGATGAGGCTTTGATGACTTCTTCTAAAGAAGATTGCATTTAGCCATCGGTGGAAATTTTCAGATTGTGTCTAAAATCACGCCTTTGAGTTTAAATGCAAATGTGAAATATTAGTTGTTTTATACAGTACTGTTTGAGTTCAGTAAGATTTTTTTTAAATAAATATTTTTTTTTATTCAGCAAAGATGCATTAAATTGATCAAACGTGCCAGTAAAGACATTTATAAGGTCCAAAAAAAATTTATATTTTATAGAAATGCTGTTCTTCAACATTATCGACAATAATAAGGAATGTTTCTTGAGCACCAAATCAGCATATTAGAATGATTTCTAAAGGATCATGTGACACTAAAGACTGGAGTAATGGCTGCTGAAAAAAGAAGCTTTGCTATCACAGGAATAAATAACATTTTAAAATGATTCAAATAAAAAAAGCTCTTTTAAATGGTATATTAATATAATATTAATAATATTTCACAATATTACTGCAGGTCACATGTGAGTAAAGCTGTCCTCTTATTGGTCAGAGTTCACCTGTTTACGTTCCTCTGCATCAATTATCAAGATGGATTGACAAGTTCGCTCCGCGGGCTTATTGTGGCTTTATAGCTGTCCTGGCAAACGCAAACACTTACGAATGTAGCCGTTACACCTGCTCTCAGTAACTGCTTACTAACCTCAACATTAAAAATAAGAGCGCATGCATTTTTACGTGCATCTGACTGACACCCGCTCTAATAGGCTATATCTATCTATATAGAATTATATTTAATTATATTTTAAGATTTTATATTTTTACTAGTTTCTCCATATAGGAGGCGTCTTGAAGCTGCCATTACCAACAAAGGCTTTTGTAATATTTTTTATGAAGTTTTATTTAATATGAAGAGCTGCTCTTTGGTTTTCAACTGCAATAACAAACATTCTCACTCACAGAATCAGACATTGACTGCTGCTTTTTATATAGCATATTTCCCGTTATGAATTACGATACCGCTAAGCTTTGCTATAACAGGAATAAATAACATTTTAAAATGATTAAAATAAAAAAAAGCTCTTTTAAATGGTATATGAATATAATATTAATAATATTTCACAATATTACTGCAGGTCACATGTGAGTAAAGCTGTCCTCTTATTGGTCAGAGTTCACCTGTTTACGTTCCTCTGCATCAATTATCAAGATGGATTGACAAGTTCGCTCCGCGGGCTTATTGTGGCTTTATAGCTGTCCTGGCAAACGCAAACACTTACGAATGTAGCCGTTACACCTGCTCTCAGTAACTGCTTACTAACCTCAACATTAAAAATAAGAGCGCATGCATTTTTACGTGCATCTGACTGACACCCGCTCTAATAGGCTATATCTATCTATATAGAATTATATTTAATTATATTTTAAGATTTTATATTTTTACTAGTTTCTCCATATAGGAGGCGTCTTGAAGCTGCCATTACCAACAAAGGCTTTTGTAATATTTTTTATGAAGTTTTATTTAATATGAAGAGCTGCTCTTTGGTTTTCAACTGCAATAACAAACATTCTCACTCACAGAATCAGACATTGACTGCTGCTTTTTATATAGCATATTTCCCGTTATGAATTACGATACCGCTTGGTTCTTTGGTCCGTTGGGTCGGATTGCTTTCTCACCACGAGCGAACCGCTACAGAGTCCGTTTGCAATCGGGCCGAGACCACCTCTTCACGGAGGTCTCGGTACGCTTGTCTGGTCCTCTTTTGTTGCACACCCGAGTGCGATTGCTGCATTCACACCTGCCCAAACGAACCGCACCAAGAGGGACAACGAACTCTTGTGCGATTCAACCGAACTAAATGAGGCAGGTGTGAAAGCACCCTCAGTAACAGGACATATCAACAATCTACCCTTTAGTCAGAGGACTTAGTCACAGCCTACTGACTAGTACACACCCAGTCTACATCTACACAATCAGAGACACTACAGACTCCTTAGCACTGAATTTAGGATCAAATCCTAATCAAATTGTACGTGTGTTTTATAAACGAGGCCCCAGATTCTTTTATAACAGAGACCTTAATATATCTGTCCCTCTGGCCAGTGTCATCAGTCCTAATTTCCTCATCATTTCATCTGTTTCCATAACAATGGAACAGACAGACCATGTACAAACAATCTGTGAAGGGCTGCTGGGTAACATAGTCCAATTGTTTCATGCTTACATGTTATACTTTTGCCAGGAGTGCTAGTGAGGTCCGGTTGGGACAAGCTGTTGTTGTTGTTGCCATTCTCCACGTCTCCTGTCTTTTCCATGGGTGGGGTGTTTGAATTCTGTGCTTTCTGCTCACCAGTTTCATTCCCTTCTGAGGCCAAAAAACACAAACACAGGAGAAATAAATTAAAAAAAAGTTATACAGAGAAATTTACACAGGGCTTCGCTGTCATATCCATTTCTAAAGTGTTTTTATGCAATAACAGTACAATGTGGATGCTCAGTTTGGAAATGTGTTTATATTTGCACTAGCTATTTTGCTAGATCATCAATTTGCATGCACGTTGTGCTCAAGTATCTGTGAAAGTGCATTCATGCAGTCATCAGCATGTGTTTGTGTGTGCGTGTTTTATAAGTTAGCGCTGGAGCCAAGTGGTCTTATTATATGGCCTGGTAATTATACAGGGCTGTCTGAGGAGGCTAGAGCAGCATGACATCAAAGAGGGTCAGGACTGGGTCTTAGCGAGGAGAAGCGCTGTGTTTAGCTGAGCTGAGTGCAACTGAGCTCTGCTCTGTCCTGGCCTCTTGCCCATACCTACCCAAATGGAAGCCAGCTGGGCTTTACTGGCTGTCTGATAAACACACAGCATCTCTTGTGGAACATCAGTCCACTGCTCTCTGTTTATTTCCTTTAGTGACTCTCTGCCTCGTTTTGCTTTACTTGATTTTGGCAGATTCCAGTTTCTACCTTTTTTATGTGATTGTGTGATGTGTCGAGGGATTTTTATCTTATAATTTTGTTGACAAGAGGATTGCTTTTTAAAGAAATTACCTTAGCAGGGTCAAGATTGACGACAACTGATTAGCCATCCAACAAATGACTATTAGGAGTTTTGCATGGTAAAAAGTTTTTGATCTGTATTTTGATCTGTAAAGCATTGCAGATACAGCATTCAAATTGACGGCTTTTTGTCATTGCATAGCATCTTGATCGGAAACGATCGAAGCATCCCTAGTTCCAGCAAGACTAGTCAATAAAAAAAATAAAAAATAGATATTGCACTTGTAGTAAAAACTAAATCCCTAGACCTTGGTGACAAAGAGAGCCAGAAAGAGAAAGAGAAATAAAAGGGAGAGGGCTGAGTTTGAGTGACAGGGATCTTGACCTAACAGTATCAGACATATCTAACTGCTGACAGAACTGTATCCATACACTCTTATTTATTTTCTCTTGAAGCATCCCTAGTTCCAGCAAGACTAGTCAATAAAAAAAATAAAAAATAGATATTGCACTTGTAGTAGCAGAAAGAGAAAGAGAAATAAAAGGGAGAGGGCTGAGTTTGAGTGACAGGTATCTTGACCTAACAGTATCAGACATATCTAACTGCTGACAGAACTGTATCCATACACTCTTATTTATTTTCTCTACTAAACTCTTTCACCTCTGAGCAGGCAAACCAAGACGACTCACGAGGGGCTTCCATCCCGCATTTCCTCAACCAAAACTCCAACACAGACAAATTGTCAGGCCTGACCTCATAGCTCACAGAAACAACATTCTCTTCTCTTCAACTTCAATGACTGTGATTGACCAATTAGAATCAAAGTATTCCAGAAAGCTGTATTATAATAAACATTCAGTTATTAGAGTGAAACAATACAGAGACAAAGAAAGAGAAAAGTGAGAGAGTGAAACCTGCAGGGTTCAGAGAGTTGCTGATGTGGGTGAGTGTGAGAGCAAGTGTGAGAGCAGCGCTGAGGCTGTGGACAGACAGGGATCATGTTTATGAACCATTTTAGCTTTAAAACATAGACCACTGAAGCCTGCCAGTAACGCTGCTGAAACCAAGTCTGCTTATATACCGCTGTATAAGCGTGCGTCAGCTCCTTCTGTTCTCCCATTGCTGTGGATCACTGAGCATTAGCAACTGGATCCCAGCAGTTATCAAAGGCAGAGCTTTAATTCCTCATCATAATCAAGGCGTACAGCAGGCAGGGGAGATTTACTGCACAGGCATCAGTATTTCAGCTCAGCCTTCCATATTATGTGGTGAGGAATTTCAAGAACCCGCACTTAATGATCTCAGAAATTACGCCACATTTGCAAAAGCCTTTCGAAATCAGATCTCTGGGTTAACGATCTAGTGCTTTAGACACACTAGTTGTTTTAGAGCTGGCCAAGTACATTACAAAATAAATAAACATTTGCTAAATGTGATGGACTATGGTGTGTATATAGGACATTACTTGTACACGCAACATGTGTGGACCCCAGAGGCAGAAAATGTGTGGAAACTTTACTTGACTTGTAAACAGGGCTCATACATTTCCCAGTAAACAACATAAGAACATAGGAATAAAAATATAGTATGTGGGTAATGGTCATAAAGACTTTATGGCATTAAAGGCATTGCACTACATGTAATGTTCGGTGTTATGGGGGGAGAAAAGCCCACCTAAATTTTATAGTACCTTTCCCACGACAACAGGAATGAGGTGTCTTATGGTAAAGATTATTTGGAAAAATGTACATCAGCATCTGATTTGGTACAATCCCAGTGAAGTTTTACAGCAATATTCTGTAGTACATTGGCACACGTGGTTAGTTCACCCAAAAATGAAAATGACATCAATCATGTCATTTTAAACCTGTGTGATTGTCTTTTTCAGTGGAAAACAAAAGCAGATGTTTTGAGTCATGTTTCAACTTATTTTTTATATGGAATGAAAGAATCAGTGGAGAGTTATTTATTTATTTTATAAAATATCTACTGTGTTCACAGATGGAAGAAAGTCATTCAATCGAGTATGAGTATATGATATTTTTTATTTATTTATTTATAAATAAACTGTAAACTGTCCTTTTAAAGGTGGAGTGTGTCATTTCTGCACCACTAGCATCACTAAACAGAACCGCAAAAATAACGTCCATTTCAAACAGATAATCACACCCCAAACTGGTCGAACCAATGAGTCTGGATGCTCAAACAACCACCAAATTTATACTTTTCAGGGACATCAACCTATTAACTCTTTC